AAGGTACTTATATTTAGTAGGAACTGTTGGGCCAGAGAAGTGGCATACTCAGGTTCCTGTTATAAAGAGATGATGGTTGGATGTGGTACACAACTTTAATCCCAGCACTCCGAGGCAGAGGTAGGCAGATAGTGAGACTGCCTCAAAACAGACAACAAACAAACAAGAAAAAAATGCCATGCCTGACTACTAAGTGGAGAATGGTTTGAAGGAAGTGTGAGTGGATGTGGATCAGGTTGGGGGTTCTGTCTGGGGTGCCATTTAGCAGGGGAGGTTGGGGGAAAGCCCTTAGGGAATAGGCAGGAGGAAGTATATTGGAACTGGCTCCTACTGGCTTGCAAGAGCTGATTCTATATATCCCTTCCCAAGTTGGCAAGTTTATATTGGAAGCTTGATATTTGCTATTGTGGGAATATTTGCACAGTGGCATTTGGCAAACTTCAAATCAGGGTTTTCCCCCATTCCTCAGAGAGCCAGTAGTACTCAGTGCTCACCAGGACATCCCTCTGCTTGGCATGGGTTCCCACAGGTGCTAGCTTCTAGAACAGAGGCAAGAACTTAAATTCTATTTTACATCCCCCCCGCTTTTTTTATTTTTTGAGGTGTGTGGGAGAGCAGGGGACATTTTCATGATTATGTACAGCCAAGGTCAGAAATCAAAACTGGGATCTCTGAGCTGGAACTCAAAGTGGTGTGATATCAGGGACTGCTAGGGTGCTGTGGGAGAGGCTGCTGTGATGGCAGTTGTGGACTGAATGAGCTCACTTGAGGCCAGAGCCAGAGGACCCAGACAAAGACAGCGCTCCCTTTTCTCCCCTGTTTCTCAATGAGAAGGCAGACCACAGGGTGGAATTCGTGCTATTAGTCAGAAACTAGAAAACAAGCAGATATGAATGAATCATTTATTTGATAAATGTACTGCAAATAGCACACTTAGACCAGAATCTCTGAGGTGAAGAGGCACAAGCAAAGAAAGCGTTTACAAACTTGAAGGACTTCTACAGGAGCCAAAAACCAGATGGATGAAAATCATCACAGGGACCAGTTAATGGACTCAGCAGCCAACACGCAGCAACATGATTGAAATATTAACACGTTTCTGGAGGGGAGGTAGGTGAGGAACTGGCTCATCAGCTTCCACTCAAACCTTCCCCCTTCCTGGCAGGACGTCAGCAAAACATCACTTTTCCTGAGTGCCAGATTCTGTGGATCCCTCTCCTGGGACTGTCCCCCAAGATGGTCACAAGTGGCTGGTGGCTTATTTATTTGTGTTATCTGTGAGAGGCCATGGAAAGAAGGCCCTATCAGTGGGTAGCTCTGGCTCATACGCCTGCCAATCATAGATTTACCTGGAGCGAACAGATGGTCTCTTTGCTGAGACCCGTTTCCTGGGCCCCCTGCCAGCTTGGGAACTCTTCTAATTCTTGGAACTGGTTAGGGTCTCCTTAGAAGGACAGACATAATAGATGGGTGCATCGATACGCTTAAAGGCCCCCCGTCCTAGGCTCCACGCAGGCCAGCAAGCCCCATAACTGTATTGGGCTCTTTTCCATCCCTGGCCTCAGTCCAGGGTTCTGCCACAGAAGTCAGCCCAGGAACTGAGGAAGCCTACAGAGAGGACACCACACATTTTGTTTATTAAAGCTAATTGGTGAGTACAGACCCAGGGAAGCCAATGATTCATTAGCATCTTGATTAATATGCAGCTGCTGAGTATTAAGAAAATGAAATGGAAAAGCTGAAATCCATAAAAGATGGGTTTGGAAAAATAAAAATATGCTCTCAGTAGACATCTGATGCAGGCATTTGTCCCACCACAAAATCTGAATTAGTTTAATTCAAGTGATTTTTCACCTCAATTCTTGAGTATTGTAGTAGAGCATCTTGCAGCCATTAGGAGTTCAGTCAGGTTGCAGAGAATTACACAAAAAGAAACACCTCGCAAGATGAGTCTAATTTTGAAATCCTGATTTAGTCTAGAAGAGGATGAGTCAAGGGAAGCTGGGTGTAAGAAGGCACGAGAGCAGGGATCTTAGAGTAGCTCTGTCAGAACACCCAGGAATTCAGCACATAGTGAAGTCTTTGAAGTGCTGAAAAGCACAGAAGAGAATTGTCGTTCAGGCTGAGCCAGGAAAGAGCAAAAGTTCAAAGCCAGAATCCAAGTTCTGCCTGTTTGGGTGAATCCCTGTCTCAAAATATCTGCCCAGCATGTGCAAGTCCGTAAGTTCAGTTTCTGATACTGGGGATGGAGATGGGGAGTCCGAAAGGTCAACAGGCAGGATATCATCTTTGCCACTTAGTTTTGTATATGCACATTTAAGACAGATTCTGATGTTCCAGGAGACTGGTGGGAAGTATGAGAAAGTAAGATAAACAAACATAGGATGGTAGTGTCCCTGAGGGCTAGTGTTTCCAGGGCCATTCTTGTCTCTAGTTTGCTTTCTATTGTTGTGATAAAACACCATCACCAAAAGCAAATTGGGGAGGAAAGGATTTGTGTCAATTATACATTCTAATCACAATCCATCATTGAGGAAAGCCAAACCAAGAATTCAAGCAGGGAAGGAACTAAAGCAGAGGCATGGGAAACACTGCTTACTGGCTTGTTCTCCATGGTTTGCTCAGCCTACTTTTTTCTTTTTCTATTTTTCTTTTTTTTTTCTTTTTCTCCCCCCTTGATACAGGATTTCTCTGTGTAGCCTTGGCTGTCCTGGAACTCACTCTGTAGACCAGGCTGGCCTCGAACTCACAGAGATCTGCCTGCCTCTGCCTCCAGAATGCGTGCACAACCACCACCCAGTTTAGCCTACTTTCTTATACAAGCCAGGACCAAATTATGGATCACCCCACATCAATCATTAATCAGGAAAATGCCCACACAGACTTGTCTACAGGCCTATCTAATGGAAGCATTTTCTCAATTGAGGTTCCCTCTTCTTAGATGACCCCAGTCTGTGTCAAGTTGACAAAAACAAAAACTGGAATATGGAAAAAGAGAAAGCATTTGCTTGTAGAGAGACAGTAGTTTTTTTGGGAGGGTATACCAGGTAAGAGGAGCTGTGGTCAACAGTAAGCTTTGAGGGCATAGTCCCTGTCTGAAGCTATACTGGAGGGAAACAGCTGGGGAAGCCAAGACTGTTCCCAGGCCTAGGCTCATGCAAGGAGAGTATAGCTGTCCTTCGAAAACATCCAAGCCACACAAGGATTTGAGTGAATCTCCACCCTGCTCAGACTTGGAAAGATGACTGGTTGAAGCCTCAGAGGTCAGAGACTCCTTTGTACATATGTTCCACCCCAAAAGTCATTTTCTAGAAATGTTCAGGGACTGGCCTCCTAGTTCCCATGCTTTCTGTAACTGACTTCACTGTAAGTAGTGTTTCTGCCTTTCTAGAGCAGTCCTATAGTAAACACATTGGAAGACAATAAACCTGAGTCTCTGTATGGAGGTGGGATAATAGGTCAGTGGGTGTTCTGTTGTTTTTTAACCCAATCCTGTGGCTGCCCCTTAAGCAGTTGCTATCCTAATCAGCAATTGCAATTCAGCAGCTGTAGTTCGGCCACAAGGGTCGCAGTGGGCGGGAATTCTGTTCCCTCTTACACTGGGCTCTCTCAAAGGGAAACTTTATCTACATCTCTATTCCTCTGTAGAACTCAGGATTCAAAGGTTGAGGTGAAATCCTGCTAGCTCAGAGAGGCTGAACTACAAGTAGCTCACCTTAGTTGCATCTCCTGAAAAACCCACAAGCCTGGCGGTGGTGGTGCAGGCCTTTAATCCCAGCACTCGGGAGGCAGAGGCAGGCGGATCTCTGTGAGTTCGAGGCCAGCCTGGTCTGCAAAGGGAGTTCCAGGACAGGCTCCATAGCTACAGAGAAACCCTGTCTCGAAAAACCAAAAAAAAAAAAAACCCACGAGACCTGCTCAGGCCCCACTTAAGAACACTTGCTATATACCTGGTTTCCTCTCTACCCCTTCCTGTCAGCTAGTTACTGACTTAGCCTCCTGACCACACGTTAATTTTATTTAATCAAACAAATGGAACATGTTTTTGCATGATAAAAGCAGTAGGAAGAAATGTAACATGCCTTAAAAATAATATTCCACAATAGTGCCCTTTATTCAATTCAACAGAGAGTGAAGTTATGCATAGTGACTTATGTCTGTAATCCCAGCACTGGAAAGGTTGAGGCAGGTGTGTTGCCTTGAGTTTGAAACCAGCGTGGGCTAAAGAATGAAGTACTGCCTGGAAACCAACAACAAAATGGGCTGTGGACAACTGCATGCTAGAGTACAGAGGCAACGAGTGCACAGTCCTCTGAGGTTCTGATCATACGTGACAAGCACAGTAGTGTAGAGCCACAGAGGGTATACATGGTGGCAGGCAGGCATGTTGCCTGTAGCAGCAACTGAGAGTTCACATCTCAGTCCACAAACAGGAAGCAGAGAGGGCATACTGGGAATGGTGCTGGTCTTTGGAACCCTCAAACTCCAATGACACACCTCCAAGGCCATGTCTCCTAGTCCTCCCCAAACAGTTTCACCAACTAGTCAGCATATAAGCAACCCCCAGGGGGTTGGTTCTTATGGAAACTACCATAGTGCTCACTTCATAGAAGCCAGTGGTGTATACATACAGACATGAACAGTGGCTTTGCGCTGCACAGATTGTGTTCTGGAACTGCAGGCAGGTTAGACTTACACTCTAGTTCATCTAGGTTATTCAAGGGTTGGAGGCTGCCCCATGTCTCAAGGTCCAAATGAAAGGGAAAGTGTTGGGTGTCACCCACAAAGGCAGCAGTCCACACCTTCCTCACTCATACCATACAGCTTCATTAGATCACGTTCTCCCTGGCCCCATGAGCGTGTGTGTGTGTGGTACTCAATTGTGATAAGCACATATTCTACCACTGAGCTCCAACTCAGGTCAGCCACGTTTAGAAGAACATGATGCTACTTTCAGTGCTTTCCGAAGTCAGAGTTTAACCCTTATATCTCCACTCCAGTGCCAACTACCAGCTGACAGGACCCTTCTCCTCCCTGGAGTCTAGCATTGCAATCCTGAAGAAGAAAGCCCAGGAGCTGATTGAAAACATCAATGAGAGCAGGCAGAAGGACCATGCACTCATGACCAACTTCAGGGACAACCTCAAGAAGAAGGTGACAGAATCTCTCAAAGGGAAGGAGGAACCTATGGTCTGACATCTGTTGGGTTCCAGGGACCCTGCAAGATGCTCTGCACACAGTTTTCATTTTATTCTAGAACACTCAATAGATTGGGCCCATATCATAAATGAGAAAACTAAGGCTCAGAAATGAATGATTTTGGATGAGTGTGTTGTTTAGTGGTAGAGCATTTTTCTAACCTGAAAACAGCTATTGGTTTGATACCTATTTACACACACACACACATTTTTTTTTTTTTTCGTTTTCAAGACAGGGTATAACAGTCCTGACTGACCTCGAACTCACTGAGATTTGCCTGCCTCTGACTTGGATTAAAAGTGTACACCACTGGGGCTGGAGAGATGGCTCAGAGGTTAAGAGCACTGTTCTTCCAGAGGTCCTGAGTTCAATTCCCAGCAACCACATGGTGGCTCACAACCATCTGCGATGAGATCTGGCGCCCTCTTCTGGCCTGCAAGTATACAAAGTGTACACCACTGCCGCCCGGCCACATAAGCAATTTCTAAAGTGGGAAAACCAGGTATGGTAGCTCTGCCTTTAATCCCAGTACTTAGGAAGTGAGGCGGGCAAATCTCTGTGCATTCAAGACCAGCGTGGTCTACATAGTGAGTTTCTCTTTTTTTAAAATTTTTTTTCTTTCCTTCCTTCCCTCCCTTCCTCTCCTTCCTTCCAAGTTTTTCGAGACAGGGGTTCACTGTATAGCCTTAGCTGTTCTGGAACTCACTCTGCAGACCAGACTGGCCTCGAACTCAGAGATCTGCCTGCCTCTGCCTCCTAAGTGCTGGAATTAAAGGTGTGTGCCATCCACTGACCAGCATACATAATGAGTTTCATGCCCACTGTGCTACATAGTAAGAGTCTGCCTCAAAAAAATTAAACAACAACAACAAAAAATTGGGGCTCAAAATGGCTCAGCAGTTAAGACCACTTACTGCTCTTCCAGAGGACTGAGTTTGACTACTAGCATCCATGTCAGGTAACAACTGCCTGTAACTCCAGTTCCAGTAGATCAGATGTCCTCTTTTGACCTCCAGTCACTAGGCATGCATATTACAGACAAGCAGGCAAATACCCATATCTTTAAAAATAAAATGGTAAATGACGTAAGGGAACCAGACTCAGGAACCTAGATCTATCCACCTCAATTAGAGTCTTAAGCATGCTAGATGAGTATTCTAATACTGGGCCTTTTTATTTTGAAGCAGGGTGTCACCCTGTTGGCCTTGAACTTGTCGTGCTCCTGCCTTGGCTTTCTAAGTAGCTAGGATTACAGACCTGTTCCAGCAGGCCTGGTTGTAGCTTGCGCTATCTTACCCTTGGTCTGGGATGAGATAGTTGGTTCTACAGCACACATGGCACTCATCCCTTGAGCTATGCTTGCTGGAATGAGGTATCAATGGCTGTTGATAATGCTGATGCTGCTTGAGAATGCACAGCCAGCTGACCATGAACTGCACTGGTCCTGGGCTCTCAGTCACACCTTTTCTAATTTAAATACAGTTAGTCTTCTCTTAGTATCAGAAAGAGGATTGGTTCCAGAACTCCATGGATACTAGTCTTCACAGATGGTGTTCAGGTCTCTCATTCAAATGAGGTAGTGTTTGCATAGAACCAATACATGTCTTTCTGTACATTTTATTTTGGGGTTTTGAGGCAGGATCTTGCTATGTAACTCTAGATGACCTGGAACTCGATGTATAGCCCCAGGAGACCCTCCCTCCTGCCTACACCCAAGGGCTGGGATAACAGATTTGTACCACTACACCTGATTTCCTACAGATTTAACTTTTCTTCTTGATTTTTTTTAAAAAAAAGTTTATTTTTTTTAAATTTTGTAATGTGTACAATGTTGTGCCTGCATGTATGTCTACAGATCTCATTACGGATGGTTGTGAGCCACCATGTGGTTGCTGGGAATTGAACTCAGGACCTCTGGAAGAACAGCCAGTGCTCTTAATCTCTGAGCCATCTCTCCAGCCCACCTGTTGATTTTTTTTTGAGAGTGCACGCCTTTATTTATTTTTTTTAATTTATTTATTTACTTATTATGTATACAATATTCTGCCTGTGTGTATGTCTGCAGGTCAGAAGAGGAGACCTCATTACAGATGGTTGTGAGCCACCATGTAGTTGCTGGGAATTGAACTCAGGACCTTTGGAAGAGCAGGCAATGCTCTTAACCGCTGAGCCATCTCTCCAGCCCCCACCTGTTGATTTTTAATCATTCCTAAATTTAAGATGACGAACCAACTGAACACACATTTATATCTTGTTTTAATAAATAAAAAGCTAGGGCTGGAGAGATGGCTTAGTGGTTAAGAGTTCTGCCTGCTCTTCCAAAGGTCCTGAGTTCAATTCCCAACAACCACATGGTGGCTCACAACCATCCGTAATGAGATTTGGTGCCCTCTTCTGGCCTGCAGGGATACATGCAGGCAGAGCACTGTATACATATGAATAAAATTTTTTAAAAAAAAGTTAAAAAAAAAAAAAAAGAAGCTAGGCATATGGCATATCCTTATAATTCCCAGCACTTGAGAGGTAGAAGCACTAGGGTCCATTCAGAACCAGCCTCAGCTGCATAGCAAGTTCAAGGCCAATCCTGACTATGTGAGACTGACGATCTGAAACAAAAGAACTTCGACTAGTGGTGTGCACCTGTGTGCCTGTAATCCCAGCACTAAGGAGTGTGAGACAGGAAGGCCAATGAGTTCAAGCAAGACCAGCCTGGGTACAGGCAGGGCCATGTCTCTAAAGAAATAACGCATAAGCAAAATTTTGCCTAGAGTGAGTACAATTCTTTGTTACTCTCTAAAAGGTCTCGGATCTGACAGAGAAATTGGAGGAGAGGATGTACCAGGTGTACACCAACCACAGCAAGATCATTCAGGAAAGACTCCAAGAATTCACTCAGAAGATGACAAAGATCAGCCTTCTAGAAATGGAGCTCAAACAAGTCTGCCAAACTGTGGAAACTGTATACAAGGACCTATGTGTCCAGTCTGAGGTAAGAATTCAGAGGTACCCTGTGAGGAAAGAGACCTGGAATGACTCAGCTGAGAGTACATATGAACAGCAACCAGACCTTTTCCTTTTTCCCTGCATTGCTGGGAATGACATCTGGGGCACATGGATTTGCACGTGCCAGACAAGTGCTCCGTCACCGATAGCCACCCTAACTCTAGGAAACAGGACTGTTACTAAGCCCTATACTGCCAGTCCTAGCCCACAGGGTTTACAGTCCCTCCAAAAGCCCTTGGTGCTCTGTCACCTTCTGGGGATCCCAAGTCACATAGTCTGAACTGAGAAATCACTGTTATCCATGTTATTGTGTAATTAGTTAGCTGTATCATGAAAGAAGTACAAAGTGCCCCTACCAGTCAGAGAGACTGTCTAGCTCAGAGTCTATGAGCTATTCCAGAAAGACAACCCCAGGCATGCTCATTCCTCCTATGTGAAGCTCCCCAAACTACCTCTCTGTGGTTACCAGTAAACCCAGACCAACCCCAATGAGTGAGGCACAGGCTCTTTATTTTCCTCTTATCTGCTCGGTGTTGAACACAGAAGGTACTGCCCCTGGGATGGAGGCAGGAAGGAAGGCACATTGTAAACTCCAGAGCACCTTCTCACAAGATCTGCTCCGCTTCACTTACTGGCTTCTTTGTCTTTCTCTCCTCCCCCAGTTAGAAGAAGGAAAACAAGGTAGATGGAATCTGATCTCATTTTTAAAAGGCTACAGAGAATTGTTTCTTCTTTTTGTAGAACATATCTGAACATCTCTCAGAATGAAATTTCCATAGTCTCAAACCAGTGTCTCACTTTCCACCATAAAAGCTGGGTCCGTCCACCACTTCTTGAGCAGACTCAGAGCAGTGTGTGGTGCTGCCAGGATCTAGCCAAGCGTTTCTCCGTTGAAGTGTGTTCACTTGCCAACTGTGAATGCCTGAATCCCAGTAATTGCTCTCCCAAGGATCAGAGCGTGAATGTCATGTGTACCTGTGTGAGATGAATGTTAGAACTTGTTTGTAATCTTCAGCTCATAAATGACCTTTAAAGTCACATCTCATGCTGCCCTAGGTCCCCACTTTAGAAGAGCAGATGGTGAATGCTGACTGCTATAAGAAGCTCCCGTCCTAATGACAGCCATCAAGAGAAGACACAGAGCCCACTGAGCCATATTGAGTTTTTGGGGTTTTTTTTTTGTTTTTACAGTTCTGTACACACCTACAGTTGACTAAATGTTTAAATGTTTGATTTCTACCCTGGCCTACTTTTTTCCAGAATTGGGAAAACTGATCATCTGTGCAAAAACATGGATGGTCCTTTGCTCCACCCCATCTTTAGGGACAGCAGCGGAAACCAATAGTTCCATTTTTACACAGTTAAATGATCCCATTTACTTTCAGAAGGCCAAGTTTGACCCATCTCAAATCATGCTTGCATTGTAGGATCTCACCCACTTCTCCCTCTCACTGTTGCTGGAATGTTTCATCCAGTAGCCTCAGATAAACACTGAAGACTGCGACTTTCCCTTGGTTCAAACCCTCAGTTATTGAGGCGTGAAAATATTCCATACATTCTGCTTTTTCTGTCTAGAAGCCTCTCTGCCCATGAAGCTATTGTCCCATTGTGCATGGATCACACTGGATATTCCTTCCTCACGACACATCTGGAGGCCAGTGGGCAGCCTCAGGTCTTGGGCCTTACTTGAGACGGGCTTGTTGTTGTTCACTATGTGTACCCAGGCTGACTGGTCTGAGAACTTCCAGGGATTTGTGCCTCAGTTTCCCATTTTACCTAAGAGCATGGGTTACAGACACATGCTACTGTGCTGGCTTTATAAGGGCTCTGGATTGAAACTCAGGTTCTTATGTTTTTATGACAACATTCTTACAGCCCTTCTTCCCCTGTCCCCAGTATCATTTTTCAATCTTTTTCCATGTTTGTCCTAAGCCATGTGTACAAGACTCCCATAGTCTACAAACAACTTTTTCTCTGAACAAAGTTGTGATACAGTGTGCTGCTCTCTTCCTCACACACACCACCAGGAACCATGCCTATCTCTTGGCACTTTGGTTCTAGGACCGTGTCTCCTTCCATGCCCTGTGCCACGATGAGAACAAGGGCCAGGAGCATCTCCGGTGCTCACGGACCTCTGAAGTCATGCAGTCGCTCCCACAACATCTGTGGAGTAACTCTGGGTAAGGAATAGGAGGAGCTAGAGGATGGAGCTGTGCTATTCTGGCTCCGTACTGCTGTCTCCCTCCCCAGGCCACTGTGACACCCTCTTCCCCAAGCCCAGGGTCCAGCTCTGACCTTCGTAAGTGTTCACGGCCTCCAGATTCATTGCATGCCGGATCACATGGTACTCATCAGAAATCCCATTTCCTCCCAGGATGTCTCGTGCCTGGCGGGCAATGTCCAGGGCTTTCCCACAGTTATTTCTCTTCAGCAGGGAGACCATTTCTGGGGTAGCCCTGGGAGTGGCACATACGTTATAAACATTGGGTCTCATGCACTGGTCACACCCAACAGATGGAGCACATGTCCAACTGGCAAGGCTGTCCCTGATCTAACCCATCTAAACCAAGAAAGAAGCTTGTGTCCCTGGGACCATCAGCTGGGAAGGACCGCAGAAAGGGCCCAGGATTCAGTCATAGAGTATAATCCCTACTTGTCCTGATCCTTTAAACGGCCAAGCTGCAAACAAGCGTGGAGGCCCAGTGTGATCTCGGTGAGCATGTCTGCCAGCTTCTTCTGAATCAGCTGGTTCCTAGCCAAGGGGACGCCAAACTGGATCCTAGAACAGACAAGGTCAAATGAGGGCCTGTATAGTTCAAGAGGCTCCCCAATTTATGATGACCCTGCTATTGGCTCAATATTTTAACTGCTCGGGATGTCCTGAGCCAGCTCAGAACAGAGAACTTAAACCTGGGTGCTGGGGAAGTCACTGTTGGGGAACAAGGTGAACTCCAAGACCCTCCACACCCCTCAGGTGTTATAGCGCCTCCACACACCTGTCCAGGGCGTATTGCCGGGCTGTGTGCAAACAGAACTCAGCAGCTCCCAACACACCCCACGTGATGCCATATCGGGCAGTGTTCAGGCAGCCAAAAGGACCCTATACGATCAACAAGAGGTCTCAGTTAGCTGAAGGTCTGGGAAGAACCAACTGTGAAAGAAAATCCATCTTCCAAATGTCCCAAACAAGGGAATCTGCATTTAAATCACATAGGGTGTGTACATCAAAACTGGGGTGCAGCAAGCCTTGTTCAGTGCCTTTCCATTCTGTGTGCACGTAGTCCTGTACAGCACGGGGCCTGACCTCAGTGCTCAGTATGCATAAAGCTGGCAGGAGACAGGAAGCTGCTCAGACAAGCGGTGTAGAAAGTGGCCCAGGGCCCATATATATCTTGGGCAGAGCCAATGAGTAAGGTGGTAACCCAAGAGGTACAGTTAGCACATCCATGAACAGGGAACACCACAAACTCTGCGATGCTCCATTTGCACAAGGACCATTATATTTGCTCTCCACTTGAAAAGGTGAGAAAGCGGGCTGGAGAGATGGCTCAGTGGTTAAGAGCATTACCTGCTCTTCCAAAGGACCCGAGTTCGATTCCCAGCAACCACATGGTGGCTCACAACCATCTGTAAAGAGGTCTGGCACCCTCTTCTGGCCTTCAGGGACACACTCAGACAGAAAATTGTATACATAATAAAAAAAAAAAAAGGTGACAAAGCAGGTAACCCCCACCAGTACCCAAGGTGTCTACCACATACCGCCAGGCTGGACACATTAGGGAGCACATTCTCCTTGGGCACCTCCACGTTCTCCATGATGATCATACCAGTAGACGAGGCTCGTAAGGAGAACTTTCCCTCAATCCTAGGGGCTGAGAGGCCCCGCATTCCCTTCTCCAGCAGAAAGCCCCGGATACAGTTATCCTCACACCGAGCCCATACTACGAACAGGTCAGCCACTGGTGAGTTGGTGATCCTGGGGACCAGAAAGTTATAGAGGGATCTGGCTGCTATCCCCACACTGTGTCACCCACTACCACCTGGGGCCCTCACCAGGTCTTGGTCCCATTGAGAGTGTAGCTCTGGTTTGATGGATTGTGGCGAGCTCTGGTCTCCATGCCACCTGGGTCACTCCCATGGTTGGGCTCTGTAAGCCCAAAGCAGCCCAGAAGTTCACCCTTGGCTGCAAGCACAAGACAGGGTCATAAGGCTACCAGGCCTCATTCATCTGATAAATTACCTTCACCACTGAGCCAGGCCTATAACTGAGGCAGATACTCCCTGCCATCATTGCACTCTGAGCTGATGAGTGGTCCAGGCCATAATCACACTGTCATAATGTGAGAGAGGCAAGGAAGGAAGGGCTTGGCAAGAGGGTCTTGAAGGGCACTAAGGTTTAGTGGAAGAAGGAAGTTTTTCTTGTTTCTTCGTTTTGTTTTTGAGAAGAAGGTCTCACCATGTAGCCCTGGCTGTCCTGGAACTGTGTAGACCTAGCTGTCCTAGAACAGAGATCCATCTGCCTCTGAAGTGCTAGGATTAGAGGTCTGTGTCACCACACACAGCCCGAGGAAGGGTATGAGGAAGAGTAATCACCGAGGTAACGGTTATTTGGAGAATCCCTAGTAGCTGAGCAGTCAAGAGTGGCCAGAGGGATGCGCTTGGTCATGCATGCCTTTAATCCTAGCTCTTCTCTCTCCCTCAGGAGACTAAGGAAAGTAGACCTCTTAGTTTGAGGCCAGCCTGGTCTACAAAGCTTCAGGCTAAACAGGGTTACACAGTGAGACCCTATGTACAAATAAAATCGGAGGGACCAGAGAAGTAGAGGAAAGGACTTGGGCTTGCTCACAGGCTGCACAGACCTGGCTAGCAGTTAAGACTTTCAACTTTGGACTGGAATGAGGAGACCAGAGAACAACTTCAAGGGGAGATGA